TTGTAGCCTAACTTCTTACTAATTATTACTATTTTGATTACGTTGAATTAGGTTTGTATTACTGACAAATAATGCAGGATAACATACTTGCATGAAAAGAAGATTCTGCAGCTGCCGCTCCTTCTTCATTATTTCATTGCTTGAGCGTCTCAGTCTCGTCTTCAATGCTATGTTTTCCTTTGACACAATTGCATAATTCTGAGATTAAAACATAACATCATTTTGCTCTTGGTTAAGCACAGTTCGTGAAAAATACTGCATCAGCAACAGTTCCGTCACTTCCCACTTTTCAAGACCGACCGTTTTCGGATTTAGATTAAGGCGTAACCCAAATATTTTAACTTCAGCTTTCAGATGCGCCAAATTCCAGCTACGAACATGTCGAGGTAGGTACTCGCTGTTGTAAATGCAGATGTTTTGTGACAAAGTCGCATCTACGACAAAGGCGCATTATTTATAAATGCTTTTATTTAATTCCCTAACCCTTTCTTCCGAACTTTGTTATTCATCTTTTGGCCCCTTTCTTTTCGATAGCGTAATCTTTTCTCTGGGAGGAAAAACACTTTCAGGGTCTGGGAACACATCTGTTTAGGGCAGTAGACTCGGCGGGACAACAATCTGGACCGAGCTCCTAGTCTCGACTATATAAGGGCCACTTTCCTCCAGTCAGGATCTTCTTTTTTCATGTTCTTCGTCCAGGCTACCTTGCGTTCAAACTCGTCTTCAACGTCGCCTCAGTAAGATTATCCTAGGAGTGCTTCTCGACTCACAATTCGACGGGTCCCCCCAACAAATTAACGTCAGCATTCCTCTTACTTTGTAGAATCGTTATCCAACATTTCTTAGCGTTCAAGCCATGCTAACTACTTACGACGTATACTGCCCCGTTTTCCTCTTTTTATGCTTTTTTGCTGTGTAACGCTCTAGCAGCGCTATGGTGCTGCAACAGCCAGCAGCCCAGGTTGGGACGCACCAGACTCTCCGGTGCGATCATGTGTTTTTGCACTAAATTCGCAGATCGCTATTAGCAAGAATGATCCTTACGCTGTAGCCTAATACTTGGGTCATATTGGCCGTGCTTGATCTTTTCCGGCATGCAGGAGGAAGGACGTCTGTTGGGATGAAGGTGGTGCATTATAGAGTCGCATGGACATACAAGCGCATGATTATCGGTTTTTTGCATGAAGTCTGGTCGTTTTTTATGCGTTTTTGCATATATGTAAATTGCAAAAACGCATATTGGGAAGAGGCTGTGTGTGTGTTGTCTGTGTGTGTGTCTCGTGTGTGCGTGTGTGTGTCTGTGTGTTCGCACTTTTTGTCACCCACTTTCAACTCGTGACCCAGAAAAGCTAGAAGTGTGTCTGTGTGTGTCTGTGTGTTCGTACTTTTTGTCACCCACTTTCAACTCGAGACCCAGAAAAGCTAGAAGGCTGAAACTTTGGGGGTATGTACCCTTACCATGCGCGACCCTCCCGTTTTAATTTCATGTCTCTTGTACGCCTGGGTGCCGCGAACGGACGTGCCATGCGCGACCCTCCCGTTTTAATTTCATCCCCGTTGGACGCCTGGGTGCCGAGTACGGACGTTTTAAAAAAATATGCTAATTTTTTGGCGGGGAAGCGATCTCGAGAACCACACGAGCTTAGGGACAGAAACTTTGTAGGGATATTCCCTGTGCATGTACTAGCTGAAGATTTCAAATTCAGCTTCCAGATAT